GGCCGGGCGCGTCTCCCGCTTAGCCCTCTGTGCGGAAAGGAAAAGGTTTTATCGGGAATAATAACAACTTGTCGCGTTCGTTTGGCCGCAATTAGGACAGCGTGTGCTCCGGACGCCCTGAAAACTGACAAGTCCAGCTGGGAAATCATTAGTCCGTGAAACTACCAAGAAACCAAAGACCAAGAAAACTTGTGAGCGAAAACTGGAAAAAATAATTGTGCGGGAAAAACCGGGAACAGAAAGCAACACGGGCGAACAGAAAAAAATTGTAGTGGCCAGGAAAAATGAGACGAATGAACAGCTCTAAAGAAACGAGGGTTAGGGAAAGTGAGAAACTGCGGAAAAACATGCAAGCTGAAGGGAAACCAGGAAGTCCACTTCGAGTGTACACCCGGCAAGCCGCAGTTGCAGACACTTCGCTTCGCGCTACGAACACTCGCGCCCCCCCTTCGTTTTTCCCCCTGAGGATGTCATTGGACTGCGTTGTCAACAAGCGTTTAACTAGATTGTCTCGTCCCGACGTGACCTCCTTTGCATTCTTAGCCGGACAAACAGACGTAAAAATGCGACAATGTGTGATAATTGTGGTGGACTCGGCCGGCTCCACCCAGCGGGATTTGTAGCAACCACGCACAACCATAGGAATTGTCGTGCAAAATCCCACGGTCGGGCCGAATAACAAAAACAACTTGTTCTAGGTACTGAATGTTTTGTACTACAAAAAAAAACAAAACAACAACACTTAGTTAGGACAACAATCTGCTCGTTGGGAGAGCATAACAACCATTCTGTTACCAGAATAAAATTGTTGCTGTAGCAAAGTGTTCGTGGTGGTGAAAAAATTTCACAGATTTCCCGCAACAACATTTTATTTCCTACAACATTCTTGTTTTGTTCTGTCTATTTCAACAAAGTTGTTTGTTGTGAAAGCAAAGTCCTTTTTTGGTTTTAAGGAATGCAGCAGCGAGTTCGCACGGCGCTGCAAACACAATATAAAGGGGTTATCCGCGACGGTCTGCTTTTCAATTGAAAGGGATTTATCACTGCCAAGGTGACATTGCATGCCGGACCTATCTCCGGCCTCACGTTACGTTATTGAATTTCGCACTGTAAAACCAACACAGAAAACATTTTTCCGGGAGTCTCCCGGTTGGATCCGGGGAGTTCATTTTATGGTTGCTGAAAATGTTATAACATGCATAGATATGACGAGAAATAGCACCCGGGATTGCTTTCCGCGGATTCAACCGGGAACTTTCCGGAAAATTATTTGCTGTGACAGTTAACTGTCGACCATGTACACAGAAGGAACAGCATGCCTGCAGGCAAGCGCGAGCATAGGTATGTGACTGCCAGTTCGACCGTTACAAGTGTGTGCCTGGCAGGCACATACTTGGCGGTCCGACGGCTCGGTGCCGTGCTGCGTGTGTCTTCAGCAATCTTTTAGTAGTGGGATTCGGGCCGCCGATCAAGGGGGGGGGGGGGTCGTCAGGGACTGCGCGGAATGGTTCGTCCCCTGGAGCGGCAGCCCGACCCGTTTCTTGCCTCTACGGCTCAGTCGGCAGAGCACCCGCCCAGAGCGTGGGAGGCCGACGGTTCGACTCCAGGCTCGCAAAGATTAATTGCTTTTCCGTTTCGCGTTGATGTGCCGGCCTCAGGGCCGACCTGAAGTTCAAGGACAATATCGGAACACGGCTCACCTCCGTTGGCTTGGTAGCTTTGGTGGCAGGGTCGCTGAAACTGACGATGATTAGGCTTGGCGATCGGGGTTGTGGGTTCGATACCCACGTACCCCTCGATACGGAAAGAGATAACAGTCCTCCAGGTCCAGGAGGTATGGCCGTGGAATCCAAGTTTCAGTCTTGCTCACCTTGTGAACCTGTAATTCGAACAACCAAAGGTACGGGGTCCGGTGACGGTTCTGACGAATGGCGAGTCTTAGCGGCCGCTGTGCAAAACCTACAGTTCCCACGATCACCGAAGACTCCCACAAACATAGCCTGGTGGACTCCATTTCGGGGGGCTTAACTTTTTCTATTTTTGGTTTCCAGTACAGTTAAGCAAAGGAATATTTTTTTAAAGCCAAACGCCGCACGGCATCGAGCCGTCGGGCCGCTCCCGCCCACCTGCCTGGCAGGCACGCACCACACACTTGTAACAGTCGACCAAGGCAGACACACACTTGTAACAGTCGACCTGGTAGGCACACACCTGCTCGTGCGTGCCTCCAGGCATGCTGTTCTTTTTGTGTGCATGGTCGACAGTTGGTTTTACAGTGCGCTGTCAATAGCTGGGATGAAATTCCGGATTACCCAACTTTCACATTTAGCCATGCAAGCATGATGCAAGCCGATTATTAGCTGCCTTTGCGAAAAATTAGCTACAGGAGCTAATCCGTTTGCTATGAATCCAGAGATAGCGGAGAATATCGGTTACGAGCAAGTTTCTAGTATCCGAGATAACGGATTCGCACTAGAATGTAGCTTGCTATGAACTTTTCGTCGCCATGGCAGCTAATATTTTGCTGGCATGGCAATTCCTTCCTATTTTGCGTGCCGGTGCCCCCCC